TTGCAAAAGTTCATCTCCATTCATTAAAGTAAGATTATGTTAAAAGGAAAAACATGTCCAGTACTCATAATATAATGGTTTTCTCGTATTTTATGGTTGCCATCAGTTGCCATTAAACCCTCATATACTACAATGCTACTCATCTAGAAAACCAATCAACTTGGCCAAAACTATGTCCATAAGGAAATGGGGAAAAAAGAAAAAATGAGTAAGTGAGCAATTTAATAAAAAGCAATACAAGGCATGAACAAGTCTAAATTGGAAAACATGCCATTCAGTCTACAATTTCAGAGATAAGTAGAATATAACTTGTCCAGATCCAAAAGCAATTTTGCAAATCATATTATAGCATCAAATAATTATTCTGAAGATGTATGGATATTTTTTCTGCATCATATCAGATGATTATTAAAGTCGTTACAGGAAGACAGCTCAATTGACCATCACTCTCAATAATAATTATGATGTACCTTACATGGAATATAAGCTAAGTAATAACAGCTGTACAGCTGTAGATTTAGCATAATGTCTGAACCTAAGACCATTTTCTTGTATATTGCCATACAGTACCATTAGTTGACAACAGGATGAATTAAAATCTTATCAAGTCATATGAACCTCTAACTTGTAAAATAAATCCATCCAGCTTTGGTTCCCAATGGAGATAATCGGCCACAGTTGGCAAAAGTAAAATTTGAACTACTGGACACATCGCAGTTGTTTTAAGTTATCTAATACAAACAGCATACTACTAGTGGTAATATGCAATCATGACCTACTAACTCACTTAGTCAAAACATTATGGATATTATATGTATAAGGAATGGAGAGGGGGGTTACTTATTGAGGATGACCTTTCTATACTACTACTACCAGTAATTTACTGCTTGTCTTGAATTGTGATGCTCAAATGCAACCCTAACCCCTGAATGTAGAAAAATGGCATTTAAAAAAAATGTAATACCAATTTTTGATGAGTAGTTAATTAATGTTTTAGCTTTAGAACATAAGTCTTTTGTAACAATTTATATGTTATATTATTCAGGGACGACACAAGTTAGTATTGGTGCTTATATGACTATTAAAATCTAAAATTCAATTTTATGGTTTCAATGACAGGCTCAAGACTACCACTGACTGTTGTAGATTGTTACTTGAATGTTTAGTGACCCTCTCATATCTGCCAACCAACCCTTCATATCCTACAACTAAGTCAAGATAAATCTGAGCAATGTTTGAGTATTTAATAAAAATGTCAACCGTTCAGACTATGGCTTAAAACAAGAATAATCTTTTTCATAAGTTTGATGGAATGCTTTTCATTTTGGTCCCCTTGCAAAGAACTTCATGAAGATACCCCATTGAATAGCACTTGGTCAAGTACAATAGCTTAAAAAGGGGATTATCTTGCGGAATATTATGAATAGGCATGAAATCTTTAAGTATCAACATGAACATGTCAGATTTTATAGAACTTGTTTTTGATTGGTTTTAATTTTTGCAGCAATGCAATGAATGCATTTCAAATGTTAGAAAGGATTAATGAAATCAATACCTGGACTAGACCCCTATCTCATAAGGAATAATTTCTATTGAATGAATGGAATCGTTATTAATATATCATCAATGGATATTAATTAGAAATAGTCTGCATATATTGACACATATGTTGAGATTTATTGAATAATGCAGCACTACATGAAATGTTACTCTCTAATTTTTTTAATTTATCCTTCTTACAGCTATTTTAGGCAATATCCTTGTTATGTTATATCCTTGTCATGAAATTGAACTTTGCTATGTCACTGTTACGGCCATTGTAATAATTGGCTAATCACTGTTGTTATGACATAAACAAGCTATGAAATGTTAAAATACTTCAAAAAAGCCATCATACTTTTAATGTCAAAACCATCACATCATACTCGATTCCCAGTTTAGTTTTCAATCACTTCATACCTAGATTATCCAAGATGACATCACATTCCATTAACATTCATATTAAGCCTATTTACAAAAGAGGGTGATGATGCAAGAGTGACACAAATCTCAAAATTGAATAAGAATACTATTATTTGAATCACATTCAAACATCGATTACTGCAATATATAAATATGATACAAAAATCACACTGAAACAAACAGTTTTGACAAAAAACAATGACTTGTAAATTGAGACAGATATCTCAGAATCAAACATGAAGAAAATTATAACTTAAAATGAAAATCAGAGCTCACTGTCGCAAACAGACAATAAGTAACATTTTTCAGTTTGAGAATCTTAGATTACATTTATTTTATTTTTTATATTTTCTATTCAGAAAGTGTTCTCCTTAATTTAGGAATTTGGATGAAAGGAATCAGAGGCATCTCTAAGAGGGTACCTTTACAATGCCAGAAAAATATTGATCAGTGCTTTAGATCTTAGTTTATGTCTGTTACCATGGTTACCGACTCTGGATTACAGATGGAGAACCCTTGCAAAAAGGTATATTTGTTATTTTCAGCTGAAGAGAATATCTAGCAAGCATATTACAAACAAAAATGTTCTGCTAATCATTTTGCGTATGCGTATGAGAATTTTTCATTAAATCAAACAAGATAATAAACAACAACATAAAATCCAGTCCAAAATGACAAGAGACATAATATGATTACTCCTGCTAAAGATATCCTACTTTGTGAATGACTTTGATTTCTAACATTTATCTGGACTACATATTAGATTTTGGACTTTAAGCCAGAATACTTAAAACATTCTGTATTCATCCAATATTGATTTGTTTTTCTGTTATTTTCAGTATCCTTTTTTATGATATCAGATGTAAGATTGATGAAATTCTATTCTTTAACAGCAAAGTGAAGAAATTGTGCTACATGATTATAATAACTTATTGTGATAATGTTTAGGATATCATCATGAGTTTAGTCTTTGACACAATCAAAAATGTTGTTCACATGATGAAAACGACATGAATTATACGCCTCTTATGAATCACTTACTGATCAGTATGAAATGAGGAAATATAAAATGTGTAAATGTCAATCCCAAAAAGTATATCAAAATGAATGGAATCATTTGGATAGAAAGTTTTGATATCAAATCTCAGTCAACCTGCTTTTTCTATTTTCTCAATCAGTATTATACGATCCAATGGAGTTTCTTCTGGCCTCATGACCTGATGTGTTGCTGGTAACATGTACGTGATGTAAACAATCCTAAGAACTGGTAATATAATCATGATCTATGTTTGCATAGGATTTTAACTTTGAAGTCTGTCCCAATAGCAGACAATGTTTACTTGTATTTAGAAACAGCAAATAATATCACAAAATGTGAATAAATCACGACTGTTATATCTATAACACGACTGGATTGGTCTCCTTTAATTATCACATAAAGTTGAGAAACTTGTTTTTTAAGCTTAGATAATCCATCATCTAAATACAGGATTGATCTCATGTATCAGAAATTACGATCATGATGAAACAACATGATAGTCACCAAGTCTTGGCAGTTTCTATTTAAAAGTTATTAATTTTTCGAGAGCAAGTTTAAGAGACTAAACTGTATTAAAAAAACTGATTGAGTTGCTATTATCTAATTGATAATTCCGACTGAATACCTTTATATACTGATGCTCAGTGTACCTATTCACTTCCGAGTTTAAAGTGACATTCTAAATACCTTACCACCACAAAAGTCAAAATAAAATTCTCATGACCGCTGCTGAGTGAGATCATATGAATATCGTGACACTGATACCAAGATAATATAAAGTAAACTTCATTCATACGATCATATATTGGTTGCAAAAGAAGTATGTAACCATCATGACAAACATCATGTTACCATTCTGGTCGATCAGATCCTCTCTTAAATGTAATGTTGTTGATTTAAAATATTATTAATATCAGAATGGATACATACAGGAAATTGGATGAATATGTTTTATACATGAACAAGGCTAATACATTAGTTCTATAATTGTAACATATAATGCCGAACTGTCCTGTCATTAGGTAATGTATCATCGGTATGTAAGGATGAATCCTAAGAAAATGCAACACTTTGTAAACTATTATTAGAACTTCATCTGATTTATCTGTTCCCTTCATGAAGTACTTTTACATCACCATGGCTCACTGACTTCATGTTTGAGTACCTGAGGCACAAGTCTCAAATAGGTCTTTTGTTTTTAATTAAAGGGTAAACTTTCTAAAAAGGTTTTCTGGCCTATATTATATCTAACAAAACTTCATCTACCAAATTGATAGACTGTACATTCAGAGTAATTAAAAGTTTTTTTGCCATCAGACCGAGGATCTGGTATTAAAATTTCCCCTACCGCCATTCTGGTATTATCATGTCAATTTTCTGTTTATTTTATAATATACCATCTGTTAATATGTTCATGTTCTATAGATACAGAGTGAAATTTTCCTATATTACCTTAAGGATCATACCGCAATTACAGATGTAGTTATTTCTGCCGAGAGGTGAATTCACGATACCAACCAAACCGAAATATAATTTGAGCATTTGAGGATCCAAGTTGAGAGAAACATACAGCAAAGCTCGCTAATACATATAAGCCCGTGTCTGAGCCATGATACCAACGAGCAAGTTCACGGTAGACTATTTTGAGGTCTGGTTACCCATGAAATTGTAAATAAAAGATGTAACCGTTGTTGACAACATTGTATCCAGTCATAACTGGACCTCGGATGTCTGGCTGTTTCCATGTATTGAAACATCTGAATTTGGTAGCCTTTACATCATCGTCCAAAGATTGAATGAGTGCATTTCCGAGTGACATATTCAGAAGGCTGAAATGAATGTCTTTTGAAATGTCAAAACTTAGGCTAGGAGTACGAGAAGGGTAAGCTTGGGGGGGGAGGTAGATGGTGGCTGATGAAGATGTAATGTACAGATGACGAATCGTACCAAACAAGACAGCAAAACATTAGAAGAGTTGTATTAGTGTAACAACACGTACCTGCTGCCATCGGTCTTCTAGAGATGGCTGAGCTGAGAAATAGCCGGTGTCATGAACGACTTGCAGCTCCCGGAAAATGTTTCCACTCGGCAAAATATCCATGATGGTGACGTCTTTCTTGTCGTTTTACTTGCTATAAAGGTTCCTCAATCCCTTGGGATGCTTTTTGTCCTATTCTGAAGACATTTGACAGAGTTACAGCCGTGGGAAATGTTTATTACACGATAACAAGTCTGCAAAACTGTTCAGCAAAACATGGACTCTGTGCTGTACTAAAGTGAAAATGACCTACTTTCGTCATCCAATCAGCGATATCGTTGTATATTTTTTCCGTGAATATCATTAATTTTAGCCAATGATATGCACCGTCACTTCAGATCGCCGCTCTTTGATTGGTCGCTCTCAAAAGGCTATCCACCATATATGGAACAAATCATTACAAATATGGTCATGCTATTTTTAGAGGGGTATATAAGTAAATTCATGAACGAAAGATGTAGTACTCATTATGAATCAGAAGGAGCAATATGGAGAAATTAGAAAACACTTATTATGAAAAATAGAAAAAGATGATTATTTCAATTTGATGATTAATCTTTACTTGTTGTAAGTAAATATATGTTGACAAGCAACCAGTGTTTTGTTTTGAACATGACAAGGTGTGGTAAGGTTGTATAATAAAACCACAAGTGGATCAGGGATTATCCAAAGTTTTCTCAATGAACTGGAATTATTAGAATAAGCATCCCAGATTTCCATTTCCAGCGAATAACAAATCTTTCTATGTATTCCAATTCTGAAAACAGGAATTTGTCTAATAAATGTCTAATAAACAACTACATTATTTATCATTATGGACTGCATATTGTAAGCTATAAGACTGCCTCTACCATAATAAAAATTGTGTATCAACTATCATACATTGGAAACCACTAAAAACTGCCCAGAGACCAATATATAGAATAAAAAGGTGCTCTTATTTGGGTGGAGTTAATTATTAGTTTGCCCTCATTTAATTTTGATTTCATTAGTTATACTAGTAACCACAAAAAAACTCATTTGAAGGAATACCTTAGCATGGTAAAACCCCATCTATGTGTTTAATTTGTATTGATTTATATCAAGTTAATCATATTCAAATGTTAAGTTATCTTGTTTTTAATTTACATCTTTCTACCTTTAAAGTCTATACAATAGTCCGGATAATTTTTTTGAATATTTTACCTCATTTATCTTATCCTCCACAAAGAATTCACCAAATTCTATGTTTGCTTTTATTTTCCAAACCAAGCACCATTGAATAAAGTAGGAGTGAAATATCTATATCCATCCAATCTTGCATTAAGCTTCTCATACCCAAATACGTATTCAGTGGGGGAGGGGGTTCTAAAAGGACTTGATGCAACACTAACCCTACCACCCAGTGACCAATAACGAGACTTATTCTGGCCTTTCTTTCAGCCAATTCATTCTTAAATTCATACCCATGAAAGTAACAAATATATTTTATTGGTAGATGAGGACTAAATATCAAAAAATTATTATAATATCAAATTTTATATTTTGTGTTCTTACAATGCTTTTTAATTTGTTAACCATTCTTAACAACCTATACATATTTTCAATTATTATTCAAATATAACAAATTATTATATTAATTAGACACAGTTTTGCAGTATTTGACCCTCTCGATATTCTGTTCAGTTTGGTCAATAAGGCTTAAAGTTATATTAAAACAGCTTTGCAGTTACATAATCTTTAACTGTCCATCAGACTTACAGGAAAGTTGGAGGCGTTTATTATGTAGACAACTGAGACAGCTTACTGAAGCAAAAGTTATCTGTAGCATAAACAAAAAGTTGCAATATTACAAAGGCCAAGACTGGAGCCATGAATTACCATGTAAAGGCTACTTGTAATGTCATATAATAATGCATTGTTAGATGCAGTTGTTTGACGAAAACATGTATTCTTAATTTCTAGTTTTCTCAATTTGAGTGAAGAGCTTTTGCAATTTGTATGGAATGTGAGATAAGTCACTAAAGCCAGAAGGTGACATTAAACGATGAATATAAAAAGTTAAAGTTACTGGTCTCCAAATAATTCATATAACTTATGGAATGCACCTCATATTGTACTCATTCAATGAAAAAGAAATTAATGAAGATTCTGTCATGGTTTTGTGTCAACAGATCATATCCATTAACTTCATTCTCTGTTAAGAGAAATACTCAGTGAAGATGTAGGTCAAAGGCCAATCTCATTTGTTATAGTTCTTGAATAACGATCAGGACTAAAATTTCCGATAAGCCAGACACATTTGAAAATTTACTTGCAATAAGTGGAGAATTTAAAAAGTATAAATTTTTGTTAAATGTTTTGTCAATGGATCATATCTTTTAAACATGCAGTGAATTATAGGTGATAGGCCAACCTCATTTGCAACAATGCTTTATTTTCCACTGTCATCTCCCAGCAACGAGTTTTTACAATTGAGATTTTGAAAATTTGAATTGTCAAACTTAAAAATCCATTTGCACTCAGGTGAGAATTTCGTTATCATAATCATAAATATATGGTTGTTTTACGAGACCCAGACATTTTCAGCCAAAATAGGTATAAATTCAAACTTTGCATCCAGTTAACAAAAATCCTCTTGGAGATCACTCCTTCTATACAAGTAAAATATAATGGACAGAACAAACACAAATGATGTAAAAGTTAACTAAAAGGTGAATGATAACAAAGGTATTAATTAACCAGTTACAAAATAAAACAACCTAGTTCCAAACTTGAAAATTATGAAAGTGTAACAATTTGTTATCATACCAACGTCAACAGTGGTAGCAAAAAACTTAGGCTGCAACAATACCTCACTACTTGGTGGTGACATAAAAATTAACATTTGCCCATTTGAATCCAATTTTGAACAAAATACTCAATCGGCCAGGTACCGGCTGATGAATCAGGGCAAATGTGACCCAAGCATTAGAGTAGTATGCTAGCATGTGTATACAAATTCCTGATAAATCCACTGCATGTTTTCTCTGGAAACTTTATAAGGAGATTACAAGAAACAGAGTCAATGTGTCAATATACACAAGTAATCAAAGAAAAAGGGAATCTAAGGAACTTCTTTAAATATTTAAAGAAGAGTGAAATAACAGTGAGTTTAGTCAAGAGTGAAACATTTAATACTCTTAAGGGGTTTTGTAGTTTGTAAAACATGGTCCAATAATGGTTATAATCTTGCCACCATTGTTCAGTTGAGTGACTGAGTATGGAGATGTCAACTTATCAAGTGGCAAGAGTCACTTCTGTATACTGTATACAGGAAGTATATAAATCACAAAATTGCATATTTTGTTCATTGTGTAATAGTCGGGGCCAGGCAGTGTTCTGTGGGATTTCTGGTACAAAAGAGCTACATATTTTGCCCAAAGGTAAAATATTGGCAATTTTTCATGATTAACGAAACCTCAAGTAGATGTAGTGGCTACTTGCTTTTAAAAACTGGGAAAACACTGCAATGTGATGTCATTTGAGAAGAAGCCCCCTATGCAGGATATCATCTCCCTGAAGAATGTCTTCTAAGATTCAATGGTATCACAATAAACTGTGTTTGAGAACCATAAGTTCACAAAAAGAGCAAGCTACAAGCAATTATCAGTCTGATTGTATAGTCCGTCAGAGTCTCAGCCTTTTATTCCCAAAGCATAAACATACAGAGTAAATGTTTTTATCTTAAAGTGGTAACAAAGACTAGCAAGTGCAAAATGTTGGAAGAATTTTTCATAAACTTAATCTCATTATCTAAAAAACAAATCAGGATATCTGATCAAATGTGGAATTTATTAAAAATAAGATGCTGAAATGGCCTTTATTAGATTTAAAAAATTGTGACAATTCTTTAGTTAACCTAAACTTGTCTAGTATTTTTGCACCTTTGAAATAAGATTTGTACAATATGTAACAGTATCATCTCAAGTTCAAACTAGATCACATGTCATGTTAACTTTGAAATCTAACCGTTAAATATCTCTTATTAAATTGCAGAATGTGAAGGTTACTAAAATGGGTGAGCCAAGGTAACCTAACTATAAACTAAGTTTTGTATTTCAATGTCTGCTATTGACAAAGATACTAATAAAGGACAGATCAAAAAGTGGAAATCTTTTTACATGTAGCTGAATATTTGTCTTTTGTTACTTGAAACTGATTAATCGTCCGTAGACACGCAAACTGTCAGAATTTTAACTCAGACATTGCAAATATATGATGTGATGATACTTTGCATACTTCAACCTGCTTGATGCAGGTCACAATGTCCCAAGTTAAAAAATAATGTTTTTTTGATTAGTGCAGAAAATACATAAAATGTCAATGGAGTCTTTGAATAATCACATATGATTCAAATGCTTTATACATGTGCTGTATTAAAGAGACATTCTAGATGGTTATTTCAAATTCCAAAATCAAATGGGGATGAATGCATCTTCAAACTTATTTATGAATAGAGCAAATAGATGAACTAAGTTTGCATAGAGGTACAGCTGAAATCAGTTTTTTATTTCAACTACATGTACTCAGCTTCAAACTTTATTATGCTGCACCTGATTTATCAGCAATTTGACAAATGTTTTTTACATTAAAAACACATTATGTTTTTTGAAGAAGAAAAACTGAAGTTTAGTGACTGTTTTGAATTTCAAAAATCCTTACAAAATATTTACATGTGAATAACTTTAGTTTGGCCAATTCTTATAAATTTGAATAATTTCGTTAAAATTTGAAAATGATTCTCTTCTTAGTTATATATATTTTGTACATGTACACATGTTCCTTTCATTTCATTCATTGCTTATTTCTCTTTTTATCCATATCCTCAGAAATAAACAAACATTCTTCGTTACTTATTTTTTTAACTAGGAGACATAAACGAGTTGACATCAATTATATGGCATACCTAATGTGAAAAGGGCAATCTTATGAGAGTCTATGCCATAAATTAAAAATACAATTACATACTTGTAAAATGAGTAACTTTTCTCATTTTCAGTAAAGGGCCAACTAGCCAGAGATGAGCTCATCTGAGTGCTACCTTTTTGCATTCATTGTACTACCTTTTCCTTTAACAAATGCCAGCTTTCTGAACAGATCTCCTAAAATATTTTGATTTTAAGATTATTTCAAATCATTTTGACATCTTAAATCTTCAAGTATATCTCAAGTTTTTATCAAAATTACTGTAATAGTGAGGGACACATTGACATGTTGCTTGAAAAGATAATGTTCAACAAGAAAGCCTCAACAATATTTTCTCAAATTTTCATAGAATATAATTGTGCACATGAACTAGGGAAACACAAGACCCCAACCAAAATCCTTCAAAATTTCAAAAACAAGGCTATACATATTTGAACAATATTTTCATCACTTTATTATAACTAAATATCCATGTATACATATACAAAACTACAAATAATTCCTATGAATACAATTATATCGTCACATGTTTGCAGGTCCATACCCACCAAGTTCCAACTTACTATCTCATACGTTTAAGAATAGTTGGAACACAATGTGGAAGTCATTGTAAGACTTGAAACGCTCCTTGAAACCCTAGTTTCATTACCAGAAGCTTTCATTTAAGCCATTTCTTCTATATCCTTGTTGTAATAATATTCAAGGCTAGAATAAAATTAAAGAACCATTTCATGAAATGAACATCTGTTGAATTTCACTGCATTTTAAAATAGATTTTGTTACTAAATTGTTACTAAATTAGCAAAATACTGTTCAGTTTTCATAATGTGTCAAGTATAGAAAATACACTAAAGCATGTCATGATCGCAGATGAGGTAATGCTCTCCTTAAGCTGTCCTGCATTTGGATAAAGCCCCCCTTCATTGATCATATCACTGAAATCAAGAGCACCTGGGAAAAAAACCTCTGCTGTCTGAGGCACCAGGGAGTTATCCTCCATTGTCCAATATTTTTCACTATCAAGTTTTCTGTGCTTCCGATCGAATAACATTTATAAGGTCTGTGTTAATCAGGAATATAAACTTCAGGCATGAGATCTGAAATAAAGAACGCAAAATTGTAAACAATTTAATACTTGTTGGACAATTGTGGCCTGTCAAAAATCATGTAATGGCACATCTCCTTTCTCATCAGATTCCTGAATCTATGATTAAACAAAGATTTCAAGCATACTAAATGATAAGTCTAATAAATCAAGGTTTTTGTTTTTTTTGTTTTTTTATATTGCCTTTTGCACTTCAATTTTGACTCTCAACATCTCTCCAAAGTTGTGAATTTTCTCACTAAAATGCACATGAATTGCTAAACATGATTTGTGTTTTGATGTTTGTTTTCCCTCCTTCTCATATTCAAAATTCTCTCACCTCTACTACAGAATTATTGTTCAGTCTCTGTTTGTTCCCTACAAGTACAGGTTTACCATCGATGTACAATGGCCGCTTTCCCTCATTAGCTATGAAAAAGTCACCATTATTTCGTAATTTTATGACACCTTGACGACGAGAGATTTTACAGGCAGGGCCCTCTAGTGACAGATCTACATCTATTTGATTATCTTTTGTAGTTCTACCCAATGTAATCTGGAAATAAAATGGAACTTATAACTATACATGATTTGAATTATAAAGTCTCGTCATTCATATTACCCTAAATTTTACAATATAGCCATTAGATGATATTTTGTATGTTAGATAGATCATTGTTAGAAAGCCACTTGGAAACATTTACATGTACATAACAAGGCATTAACATTAGCATGCAAAATGTCAGCATCTGACATTTTTTACAGACACCAAACTCCGAATGCCAACTACCAAACACCAACCACTAAACACCGTCCACAACTAATTTGGAAATTACAACAATATGTAACCACTTGATAACATGAGATGACATGAAAATCCATGAAAATACATAGCAAATGCTTACCTCTCTAGATCTCATCAGGTATCTCACCAATCTACCACGGAGAACGGCAAGAGTTTGGTTGTCAAAGTCTGGGGGACTTATACCTACAATAACACAAACATTCCAAGGAACAACTTCTTATCAACACAATTAACACAAGTATTAAGTATTACAGTAGTACAAGTATTAAAAAAATTGCCTGTGCTCTGCAGAAATTGAAAACTGGGAGAAGAAAATATAAAACAAGTCTCTGACTTATGAATCCATCATATGTGTTTCAAGTTAAAGGATGTATATAACTATCAAGGGCTTAGAGAACAATGAAAATGAGTTTTTTGAAGAATATCATGAATTCGAATCATTCACATTATATGCCATAAATACGCTTTCACTTTCAAATCAAATATGAAATCAAATCAGCGAAAGTGAAAGTGTGTGACCTTTGTTAGGAACTCCCCCCCCAAAAATGTCATAATGGACGTCTCCAAACCATCGAACACATATTTATGACGTTATATTCGTAGCCCACTCTCGTGGAAATCCAATGTAATTTGACATCATTTCCCTAAAAACTATAGCTTTGGAGAAACCCCCAAACTGTTAATGGATTCCCCAAATAATTTCACCTTTATATACAAACTTGGGAAAAATAAGAGTTCAATCATATTACAATCGATTCTTTATAGTAATAATTAATAAGCCCAAAAATGGCAATGTTAATTTACTTGAATTTAACCGTCCCTTATTAATTACACTGGATGAAAAATTTAAAAATTGCCAAAAGTAGGGGTCATTGTAACAGCTTCCACTCGTCAATATTTTATCAATTTCTGATTTCATTACATGGAATGAAACATGAGTAATATTGAGTATTCACTTCTTATGTTTAGTAAAGATCAATATGATATATACACAGCTACCACCTGTATTAAGGCTTTGAAAAGGTGAGAAGAACACTTTAATAGTTATATACAACCTTTAATTGATCTGACCATCATGTCATAAGCTATTGCTACATTAAAAATATTACATTATTGAAACAATGAGTGCCAACATATTTCCTTTAAAATGCAAGTCAAATAAAATATATCCCAACAATTTCCAATCACATCACTCACCTGTTACGCTGTCTACTAAAACCTGCCATTTTGGTAGTTCCTGTTCTAGATGTCGAATTTCCCGTTTCTGCCGACGATCAGCAACAGATAATTCTAGAAGGTATGAAAATTGAATTTTAAAAAATATGGGCATATAGAACTTTATTTACAGGCATTTGTAAAAAAGATCATGACAATGTATATTATGTACAACAATGACGTAAGAAAGATATGATTAGATAAAAATATATTATTCCATAAGAAATAAACAGAAAATAGAATTGATATTCAGAATATCCCATATGAGCCAAAATCCTGTGTCAGATCCCGTATCAGAACTATTCCCAGGAATTTCTCTAAATTATTTACATTTTCAGTTCCTTACGGATTTCTTATATTTGAACTAACACTCACCATGTTCAAGGGAAGAGTCTGTAGTTTCCCTGCAATCAGAAAACATTCCATGATATCAAAATATAATTCATTTTGATGCATGTATAACTCGTATGTCAAATACAATATCCCAAAAGAGAAACATTCAACTGTAGCAGTGCCATCTTTCCCAGCAAAAAGAGTGAAGTTCTTAATATGTACATGTATGTGTGAAGAATATCTTACAATATATATACATATATCTTATACATGTATATAGAGTTAAGGCAAGTATATGGGGACAGAGAACAGAAACATGACAGAAACATTTTCCTGGATAAGTACAACTCACATCAGACAATTCAATAGAATTAGCTCAGCATGAAATCATATCATATATTACATTGCAACATTATGGCCAAGTTTTTGCAAAATTTAGTGTGAGAGAAAACTTTGGAAGTTCAAATTCATACTGATACTTTTCAACACTTGGAAGACACATTTGGAAAGTTTATTTGCAAATTGTGAAAAATGTGATATTTTGCCAACAGAAAAGCAGCTAATTTGTTCGAAAAGAAGTGAAAATATAGCAGAGACGAAATGAATAAATATGAACAGAAACAAATATAAACCAGAACAATGGCAACGCCAAAGCGTAGCGAATCCCATCGAACAGAAATGGCTGGCATTTTTACAAACGAAGCACAAATATCATAAAACAACACACCAGAAAGGCCACCATTTTCAATGCTCACTTAGCCAAGTTGTCATCAGAAGAAATAATATGCTTTTAAGTAGCCACCTCTAAAATTTTTGAAAAATCGCACACATACTTGTAAAATAACACACATAAAAATGGTGGCCATTTTTCAAAATGGCCGACTACTCCCTAAAGTTTTATTAGACAATGTGCCATGCTTAAAGTATTCACATATCAAATATGAACAAAATCGCTCTACTACTTTTCGAGTTATAGTAAAATACGTTAAAATGGCGGCCATTTTTCAAAATTGTTTTCAAAATGGCCGCCTTCTACCAAAAGTGTCATTGGACAGTGTGCCATGCTTATAGTATTCACATACCAAATATGAACAAAATCGCTCCACTACTTTTCAAGTTATAGTAAAATATGTTAAAATGGCGGCCATTTTTCAAATTTTTTTTCAAAATGGCCGCCTTCTACCAAAAGTGTCATAGGACAATGTGACATGCTTATAGTATTCACATAACAAATATGAACAAAATCGCTCCACTACCTTTTGAGTTATAGTAAAATACGTTAAAATTGCGGCCATTTTGAAAAATGGCAGCAATTTTGAAAAATGGCTGCCTTCTACCTAAAGTGTCTTTAGACAATGTGCAATGCTTATAGTATTCACATACCAAATATGAACAAAATCGCTCCACTACTTTTTGAGTTACAGCAAAAATCGTAAAATGACGAGTAAAAGCCGCCATTTTTCAAGATGGCTGCCATGTGCTTCTTTAATATCTACATTTGTAGCATTATTAATGTCCTTTATAATTTTTTTACATTTAAAACATATTGCTATTACAGTTTTACATATTGCACCTAAATTACTGTAAAATCGTCACTAAAATGGCCGCCATTTTGAAATGAGCGGCCATTTTGAAAATCGGCTTTCGAGCAGAACTTTTACCCCCATAGGATATATGTGTACAAAATATGAACAAAATCAGGCCAACGGTATTTGAGTTATTGCCCGGACGGACAGACGGACGGACGGACGGACGGACGTACGTACGGACGGACGGACGAACGGAGGCGTTCCCTATATCCCTCCGAACTTCGTTCGATGGGATAATAATTTCATCAATTTGTTACCTAAGATCTTCATCATTCACCATATCTTCCGCATCTGAGAAGTTCAACACATGATCTCCCCTGGGCATTGGTTGAACTGAAATAAAAATATATCAGTCTTATCATATTTTTCTTTACTTTAGAGCATCAAATTTTAATAGTTCAGTATGGCAAGTAAAAGTTCTGGTGATTCATCTGTAATGGTGGGTAGTAACTGACAAATACAAATGTTAGCAGTTTTCTATGAGATAATCAGTCACAAATAATTTCCAAGCATAAAGTCCTACCAGTTACGCAAAATAAAAATGACACAATGGCTACATTAGTACAGGGTGACCAAAAATGAATGCGACCAATAAACATTTATGGATTGCATTCATTTTGGGTCACCCTGTATTACATTTCTTACCTGACTGATCTGGTAGAAGGTGGTACTGTTTCATGAGCAACCAGTGATTATGTAGCACCTTGCCTGTTCTCATGGGATGAAATACTGAACTGTGCTTAGACAACAAGTCGTTGAAAACTTCCATTTGAGGTTGGCTTGTCTAAAAAATTAATAACATCAATGATGTTACTAAGATTTTTTCCTCAAGAGAGTCCAAAAATTCTAATGATCATTAGTACAGCACATGACCAATATTAAATCCAAATCCATAATTTTAATCATTTTGTGATTAACAAATACATACTTGTACATGTGCAAACCTATTTGTGAAAACACAAATTATGAATACATACTGATGTAATTTTTCCTAGCAATGTTTCCTCCTCCTTACTGAAGAGCGCTTTTGCATGGACAGCAGCAGCAACATCAGGGTGTAGCTGTTTCATAGCTGTCACTGACAATCTAATGAAAATGCAATATGTCATGGTTATCTATTTTTACTATTAATATAGACCCCATCAGGTTGAGCTATTATTGAAATACTGAAATGACAGTAAAGAAATGTCATTTGGACAAAAACATAATTTCCTCAGTGGTGTTTTCCAGCAAGTGTCGAAAAATAAAGGAAAATTCCTTGCATTCAAAATTTTTCTCCTGAAAATAAGACATTTTTTAGTGAATTAGCGATTGGAACTTTCAAATTTTCTTCATAATTCCTATTCTAACTTGCTCTATTGCACCAGCTTGCAGATTTAGATGTAATGTAAGTCAGTCCTCTTCTCAAAAATAGTCTCATGCAGAATCTATACTTACTTTGATATAACAGGGTCATAGAGTAAGGCATACCATCGTTCTTGTATCTCCTTTAATGTAAATCTACAGGTAAACTTCACTCCTAAATGTACGGCTGTCAAATCATTTGTCTACAAAATACATGGTGCAGAAGTGTAAAATTATCTCTAAAGAAATTCATAATTTAAATTGAATTGTTTTAATTTTTAAAAATTCAAACCACATCTGTATGAAGTAGCTAATATGAAGGTTCAAAATAAATTTCTTTGAAATTTTATTATCGGTTGTAAGAATCAAGTTAATCCTACTGGCATCTAGTCTAATATATTTTACACTGTATCAAAGAACTACTTGTATGTCTAGTTTTATGATTAGATGTGTTCTGTTAAAACCCTGCATACCTGTTGAACTGCATTAATTAATAACAGATCATCCTGTGCTTTCCATCGCCCCAAGTCCTTAGTTGAAGCAGGTACAGGTGCCTAAAAACAGAAATATGTTTAGTTTATTTCTGTTGAATTTTAAGAAGGCCATCATATTATTTCTCAAATTTTTAATAGAATATTCAAATTGCATTAACTACCTTTGGCTTTTTCATCCTTTTTGTAGCTGGCTTGATTACAGCCTGAAACACAAAACACAAAATTAATTTCTAAGTTGAAAGTAATCATGGATATAGTTTTAACTTGACAGGACCTGTTACCCAGCTAGATGATAATAAAATGACATTAGAATTATGTAATATACAGGGTGTCCCGAAAGGATGGGGCCACCCCTAGGCAGACATATACCAGTGTTGTCATGGTATGTGTCATATATCATTTTAAAGCTTATCCAAAGTTACATTGATTCGGCAAGTATCATGGTTCAACTCTCATATGTTAAAAAATTACAGGCATTTCAAAATTTAGTGTTTGGTCAAAATTAAGTTCAATTTTACACCAAATCACTAGTCAATGTGTCCTCCCAGGCCATCTTAACAGGAGCAATTCTTTTCGGGTTGGATGGATATTGAGTTGGAAAAAGAGAATGGTGAGGGTAGAAACTCTAAGGAAACTCTTCTAAAGTGCCTTAACAGGTTTTAAGAGGGTTATGAAATTCCACATCCCTTTTTGAAGGGCTTTTAAGGTCATGTTTGAAAATAATTGCTGCTGTTAACATAGCCAAGGGGGGTCTCATACACTAGTAGTGTGGTGTAAAATTGAACTTTATTTTGACAAAACACTAACTTTTAAAATGACTGTAGCTTTTTCCTATTTGGGAGTTAAACCATTATACTTGGCAAATCAATGTAACTTTGGATAAGCTTTAAAATGATATATGATACATACTATGAGGATACTGGAATATGTCTGCCTAGGGGGGCCCCTATTGATTTGATTTATGTTATTAAATATTCAAAATCCAAACTGATGTCATATTTGGAATCAACATGTAAAATTGCATCTAGAAATGTGGTTTTGAAAAGAGTTTATCAACTTTAAAATTTAATTTTCTTTGAAAATGTGACTATTGGGTCGGGGAGATTCCCCACAGACCCCATGTAGTAAAATCACAAAAATGGAAATATCTTTTCTTGTGTTGGGCAGATAATATTTTCTTTTACTGGACATATTTAAATTTGTATAACTATCAGATACATAAGGATTATATGAAAAGTGAACCAGTAAAACTGGTGAATATTTAAGTTTTAGGGAATTTTGTAATACCCTGCCATGTTATTTCCCCCGAATCAGCCACCTGGTGGCGAAACTGGTAACTACCTACTCGCATCTGAGTAATTAGGCAATGGCATTCCATTCGTAAAGTAGTAAATCCCAATGAACACTATATTCATGAATTTGATTATATCTAGAGCTGGCATCGAATAGGATTTTAATGTCGACATGGCGGAGCTCTCAATCGACACCGATATCGACATTGTCGGGTCCAATGATATTCGAAAAATGAAAAAAATTTTGAAGAAAATCCGTCTGAATTTTAGATTTTCTAGGCTTGTAATTAGCAATACGATGCACAATAGTCATCCTCAGTTGTATGTTTTATATTTAACTTACAGGTAAACCATGTTCAAGTATCAGACTTTGACGAAAAAGCAATAAATAGACATAAAACTACGATTTCTGTTGTTATTTCCGGGCAGCCATTGAAAATAAATCTCGAGGGTAAATCTCGAGGGGCCCCCGAGACCTAATTCGAGAGCAGGAAGTCGATCAAAACAAAAAAGAAAATTTGGCGGTAAAACTTCACTAAAATACACCATACAACAGGTAGTAACAACGATTTTAATTCATAGGGAAATAGCTTATTATGTTGTTAGTTCCGACTGTCGATCAAGAGGCGTTGTGTCGACATGGGTGTCGCAGAGAGCATTCGACTGACAATCGACCATTCCGACATTTGATGCCAGCTCTAATTATATCTGATATAATATTTTCCATCTACTATTACCTTGATCTGCAGGTAACAAGATACAGACATTGGAGATATTTTAGAATTTCCACAAATACACAAAAAATCTTGAAATTTTTGTTGTGCAAAACTATTTACAAGTTGAAACCCAACTTTTCACTAAATATGACAGACTGACTTATAGAAGGCTGCACTATATCCCAACCTAAAGTCCATTTCACTGCTTCATTTCGTCAGTAGAACAGCAAAAATAAGAAATTGGGAGACCATTGTGCAATAATATATGGAAAAGTATATTCATAATGTACATGAATGACATTTGTATATCTTGGATTGCTTCTAGTTTGGCTTATAAAGTGTGTGGCCTCTTATATTTGGATGTTCCTCTGCCATGTTATTTTCAATAAGATTAACATGGCTGAAATTCTTCAAATTACAAGACGGCACAGGCTTATTGCACAAAAAACTAAAAAATCTGAAATATACAAATGTCATTCATATACATTATGAATATACTTTTCCATATATTATTGCACAATGGTCTCCCAATTTCTTATTTTTGCCATTCTACTGACGAAATGAAGCAGTGAAATGGACTCTAACTTTGTTTGTTGGGATGATAATTGATATCTAGTTTCTGTTTGACAAGTGTGATATACAGTTGTAAATAAGGTAAGTATAACTAAAAATAAAAATTGAGAAATCGTACCATTTTTACTTTCTTCTTTTCTGGAGGAGGTATAACTGGCACTGGAGCAATTGGTTCAACTACAGGTACAGGTTCAAGCTTGATATCTGACGGCAATTTTAACTTTAACTTTTCTGTCTTGATCAAGCTACTTTCAACCACCTCATCATCAAACTTCTTTCTTTTAATAGCTCTTGAGGAACTCCTGCGTGTAGGAACACCCAAGGAAGAAGGCAAAGATGATGCTTTGTGTAAAACACGATGTCTTGATGGAATTATAGTCCGTTTTAATGTTGGTAAGTGTCCATCACCAATACTTGTTGAATTTAGTACACTTGAGCTTTGAACTGGGAGATCACTGGTAGTGGCAGCAGGGCTTGGGCTTGATGCATGTGCAATTGGTGCTTCCTCATCCATTTTCAATGCTGAATTTATTTCAATTTTATTTCTTATTTATCCCTATTCACTACTGTTATTGTTGTCAGTTGTATTATCGTGTAATTCGTCTATTTTTCATGTTCACCACTGCAAAACACAAAACGAAAACCGGAAGTAACCTCAAATTTAAGATTATGGCAACATCAACACCAATCGGCACTTATTTCTGCACCCACATTCGAAAATTGGGTAGTTGTTTATAATACTATCACTTAACTGAGTCTTTATGTATCCTAATTTTAAAGATGTTGGAGAAAATGTTAAAAAAACTCTTTTCATTTCAATCGGCCATTTTACATCTCGTTCTCTAGAGATTTATTTGAATTTTAACTAAATAGTATATATCGCACATATATCAACTTATTTTATATAAATTATTTCTAATATGATTACAATACTAATAAATATTAAATAGTTAAACGAAAAATTGGACAATTTGATAAAAAAAACTATCGGTCCCACAGTGCACTTTCACATGAGCTGGCAAAATGGCTTCCGAAGTCTCACGATTGTTTTTAGCGGCTAATATTCTGTTATTTCTCGTGCAGGTGCTCGCTGGGTAAGTATTTTGGTATTCTTGTTTGATCAACTATATACGTTTTTGCATTTTATCATTGCTTCGAACTGATTTGATTTTTACATTTGTAGCAAACGGTACTTTTGTTTTCTGTCATCTGCTAAAAAAGTTTTCCTCATTTTTTGAATGAGCTGGAGCTGTGTGATTGGTTGGATTGTGTTGTTACTTGATGCTCATATTTTCTATTTGTCATTCCATGTTAATATTGATCATATTACCATAGGCTATTATTTGTATTATATTTCATCTTCTTGGTAAAACGTTTCTGGTTTTATCAATGATCAAGACGTCATGCTATGTCTATGTCTATGTCAATAATCTGCAAAAGGCTAATAGGCCCATATAAAGCAGATATATAATTTAACAGTGATAGAATTTGAATAGAATATAATTTAAAACCAATGAATCGAGCGTACGACCACAATCTAAAGTGGTCGGTAGGATACGATAAGTGAATAGTGCATGCCACCCTCACTCAGACATAGAAACCAAAATCTTGCTATTCTGGCCAGATGATACTGCAAATGTAAGACCATTAAAATATTCGTAAAGGTGATATGAGTTTCGCCTTATTTTCGCGAATGGAGCAATCAAAACGCGAGATGCATGCACTATTCACTTATCGTATCCTACCGACCACTTTAGATTGTGGTCGTACGCTCGATTCATTGGTAAGCCTGTCTTTCTACAATGTGGGAGAATGAACTACGTATTGCACTATTAAATGACCTACCTCGATACATTCCAGAGTATTTTAGAATTCTTTTTATGTTGTTAGATCACCAATTGTATGGGTTTATCGGCAGAACGAAGATATTTTCGTTTTTGATAGCAATATTTGCGTGTAATATTTAACTTATTTCTAGTGGTGGGACTCGTGTGAATTATCCTACTCGAGTAGAGGCTCTTGAACACTCGATTTATTCGCGATTAAAATGAATGATTTTGGAAAAAAGTTCAGAAAAACTTTCTTCAGAAAGTTACAAACTTTCACTTCCGGTAGCAATGTTTTCAAGTGTTCTCGGCTCAACCTACCTTGAATACCTCCAACATACCCATCAAATTATTCAAATAGAATAACTCAATACACTTTATATGTTCTTGTTTTGCATTGAAAAGTAAATAATCTAGCAATTTACGCTAATTGGTTTGACCTCGTTAAATATTGCATTGCACATGCGCAACCGGATGTAATCAATAAATAAAAACAAACACGAGAAAGCCTATCGTATTTGATTTATTATTCCAGTTAAGGTATCAAACTACAATGCTATATATTAAGGAAGGCATCATTGCTAAACATTGTACAGAAATGTTGTACATTGGATGTGTTTTTTATGTAAATTGCGGTTGAAAGGTGGGTAAATCACATTTTCTTCATCATTTTTTTCATTTTTTTTTCAATTCGAGTCAGAATTTACCAATCGATGAATCGTATTTACAGGGTTTGGCGAGTAGTATTCGAGTCCACGAGTCAATCGTTGCTCCACTACTTATTTCAACCGTCAAATTCCTCCATTCAGTTCCCGGCATGCACCAGTCATAAGGGAAATCCCTGGGGAATTCCCCTTCCGACATTTTGAAAATTGCTGACATATTTCCGATGTAAAAACTAAAATCTCTTCGTTCTGCCGATAAACCCATACAATTGGCAATCTAACAACATAAAAAGAATTCTAAAATACTCTGGAATGTATCGAGGTAGGTCATTTAATAGTGCAATGCGTAATTCATTCTCCGACATTGTAGAAAGACAGGCTTACCAATGAATCGGGCGTACGACCAAAATCTAAAGGGGTCGTAGGATGCGATAACTATTCACCTTTCCACAAAGTAAAGAAAATTGATAATTTCTGGCGCACTGACTGGTTGTATGCAAATGAGTCAAATCAATGATGCCAATGCCTGAAAGTTATTATATCAAAATCCACATAGCTTTCGCAGGAAGTAACCCGGGCTCACATGTCTCGTGCGATTGTAAACAAAAAAAGTAAATTGTGAAGTTAAAAACAACTAGATTAAATTATCTTATAATGGTCATACAATATCCTGTTAAATGGTTATTATGTCGAAGTTAGAAGTTCCATCAGAAATCCACCATCAGTGACATTCACATAAAGCGTTACCTTTTGGTATTTATTCGCCATCAACGATGTCAATAATGATCAGCAATGTCAACATATCATCAATAAACATTATATGATATACCCTCTTTCTTCTGGAATCTTCTCAGTGGTCATTATGCAAAACCGATCATCACATAACTCATTTATCCTATAAAAAGTGAAGTTTTCAGGACACCCTGCATATCCAGGTTTGTTTTCTATTTAGCATTCTCATTTTCATTATTTTCGAGAAATCGATCATCACTTTGGTTTAGAAAAATTCTACAGTCTGCTGGATCTACTTTGACAGTTTTGCTTTTGCAAGATATTTAAAAAAATTTACTGTTTCTACACTGAATAAAAAGCATTTTCCTGGGAATATTTGGATCGGGAGATACGCAGCGGGTAATATACATTGAAATATATAGGCCTGTAGCCAGGATTTGCCAAGGGGGGGGGGGGGGGGTTCAGTTTTCAAAAATTTCCAGGGGGGGGGGGGCGGTTTGTAAAAACTTATATTACGTCCCGCTCCGAGCGGGATCTGTTTGATTGTTTAAAAAAGGAAAAGAGTATCCACTTAATCAATCAAAACTTCGAGAAATAAATGTGGGAATATTTGAGAGAACAGGAAAATCCGCCCACGGCCAAGAAAACAAAACTGGACATGAATATTCTAAAATATTTCCACGATTGAACAATGTGAACCAAATGACCAAGACTGGTATGTGATAAACATATTATCCTATAGTCGGTTCAGGATATTGGGCCAATATAATATATCCCTTGGCCAATATAATATATTTTTCCTCGGGACCTGCGACCCTCGGGCAGATATATTATATTAGCCTCTGGATAATCCTAATATTCTGAACCTCATATAGGATAATCTCTATATATACCCTGCGTGCAGAGTCTAGTTAAACTACACTCTGCCTAGTAGATACCATATTACAGTTTAGTAGCCCCGCCCCTACGACGGTAACCGGTGACAGTTTGGATAATAAATCACTTTTGACCTACGCGCTGACCTTTCTTTCACCAATCAGCGAGCTTGAAGAAACATATGCCAAATGCGTTCTTATTAAATATGTGCATGTCATTGGTCAATTCCGGGCTCAACGATGACGTCACAAAGAATGACCATATATAGAACGTCGGTCAAATTTGGCCGACGAACACTGATTGGCGCGGTGAGTTCACAGGTTTATTTTAGTTTGAAAGAGTGAAGACGAAGCTCTCTTTTAAGAAGTGAAGTTAAACGAATGCAAAGGGTACTCTATATATGTCACGCTCCTCCAAGATATCAATTCTATATCCCGATGTTTTCAAGTATAATATTTTCAAGATACGATCTGATATGACTTTCAGAAATAAATAGGAAGTAATCGTTTAGTTGATTGAATTATGGAAGTAGTAAAGTCAATGACTTAATGGATAAGAGCAAATGTTTTTAATTTGAATTGGTCATTCATCAAATGACACTGAAGATTAACTTAAAATAGATTGTCTATCTACATATATTTTTATGCATGAGAGACATGTTATAATGTTGGTGAACTAATGATTATGATAATTTCACCTGTTCACATCCAGTTGCTATCATGATTGAAAACTGACCGGGAGTAATTCTTTTCAACTCATTATGAACTGAAATTTAATATTTAAATCGCTTAGAAGGCGTAAATAAATGTCAATTTGACTTTCAATAAAAATCTGTCAATGATTCACTGATTACTTGTGCATATTTGAAAAGGTGAAACTTACAGCAATCAACCGAGGATATACATGTCAACTCAATTGCATTTGTTTTTCGCGGGAAAAGGTTTCTCTCATTGATGTCACCGATTTTTAAGCAGCTCATTATAATATTCATGAGTTGACTTTGTGGAAAGGTGAATATAATCAGCTTATAGTAGAACTTCCCACTATCCGTGCCCCAACAGTTTTTTTGTATGGCCTATTGTTAAGACCTTATTAGACTCGGTAAAATGTTATATATACAGTAATATATACAGTAAAATTTTAAATGTTTGGAACTACTTTGAATTGAAAAAATAAGCAATAAAAGGACCATTATATTGAAACAGTATGTGTAAAAATAGAAACATTTATACATGTCCTAACTTTTGTTTATTTTAGTTTGTTTTGTAGTTTAGCTATCATATCTGAGGCCTCTTATATTTTGATGCTTCTTTGCCATGTTATTTTCGGAAAAGTTAACATGGCTGAAACTTCCTAAATTACAAAAGGCCACAGCTTTACTGCACATTATATATATAATTATCTGAAATGTACAAAAGTTAGGACAAGTACATATGTTTCTATTTTTTTTATACTTTTGCAATATAGTCATTTGATTGCATATTTTTTAAATTCAAAGTAGTTCCAAACATTTGAAATTTTACTGTAGTCTGAGCAATAAATAAATGAGTAGTCGATTTTCCATCACCACTTTCGAACCATGATGGTTTGAAAGCCCATAGTTTTTATTATTGTCTAAATACATATCCCCTAAAATGTGTACACTCTCATCCACTGATGTATGGGCTCTTGAAAATTCTCTAATTTTGGTAAAACATTCTGATATTTTGAACATTTTTAACCTACTTCAGTAAATCCAATAGTACTCATTTATTTATTGCTCAAATCATGGGTTTTCAACAGAAGGGTATGTGGCCTCCCATATTTCATACATAAGTATTGCCCTAGGTTTTCAAAAATGGGAGAAAAATTGCTTCCTGTACATATTCCAAGAAAAATCTTATTTTTTACTTTTCATGTATGATTTAAGAAATAACTAAAAAATGATTATCTGCATACATGTTGACAATTTGATATAATTCATATGCAGTAGAATGTAGAATACAAAAAGGAATTTATCAGCCTGGAGTTTTAGTTTGAATGGTTGCATTCTACTACATTTATGTACATGCTAAAGAAACTCTTTTATTTGCATATAACAACATTCTTAAGGATTTGAATGCTTTAAATTACAGATTTCTGAATACAAACAGTAGAGTATATTCTGAAATTTGTCTGACCATTATTGTGTTGTCATTTCAGTCGAGACTTTTACCAAATTCTTGGTGTTCCACGTTCCGCAACTAAGAACCAAATCAAGAAAGCATACAGGAAGCTAGCAAAGGAAATGCACCCAGATAAGAACAAGGGTGATGAGGAGGCAGAAGAGAGATTCCAAGATTTGGGTGCTGCATATGAGGTAAATATTGATTCAACAGATCCCAGGACTAACTGACTTACTGTTGAATGAATAAACCTTTGTATGTAGAACAACTCTCAACTGGAACACTTTTAGAGGTACAAAATGTGTTCCATTTACACAGGTTTTACTGTATGCTCCTTTTTAAATGTCAGACCAATATATTGAGCTCATCATGCATGGTCTGGAAAAAAGTTGGTATTTGAAGAGCTGGGAATTTTATTGTTATTAAATCATTCATTACATGTTTCAGGTGTTATCTGATGATGACAAGAGGAAGATATATAACAAACATGGAGAAGAAGGATTAAATAAAGGTGACATGAATGGAGATCCTTTCTCAAGGTATGCAAACATATTAAGCCTCGTTGTAACATGGAATCCCTAGTGACAAGTGACTTCTTTTTATTTGAACCAATAAACCTTTTGTAAAAGTTTCATAATGATTTAATTTAGTTACATGTCTAGAGAAACTTTTCAAAAGAGCTTTACTAACTTTTTCCATTCATTTGACTTGTTTTTCATGTATTTTCAGTTTCTTTGGAGGATTCTCTCCATTTGGAGGATTTGGTGGACAACAGGAACAGGAGATTCCCAGGGGTGGTGATGTCATAATGGACCTTGACGTTACCCTTGAAGAGTTATATACAGGAAACTTTGTTGAAGTGAGTTAAATTCTTTTGATTTCAGAATGTCACATGGGTAACATTGACGATATATTGAAATTGATAAATAGAAAAAATTATTACACAAATCTGAATCTGAAATAACCCTAATGAAGCTAACTACGTGTACTACTAAATGTTGTATTGTAATTGTTCAGAGCAATAGAATATGCTATCTTAAGCTATATTAAACAAGTGATTAAGTTAGTGTATGTATTCATTTATGAAACTTATGTTTTTACTCCTTGAGTGAAATCATTTAAATTGATATTATGTTTTGTAGGTTGTAAGATATAAGCCGGTGGCTAAACCTGCATCTGGAACACGAAAATGTAATTGCCGTCAAGAAATGCAGACAATACAGCTAGGTCCTGGTAGATTCCAAATGATGCAGAAAGAAGTCTGTGATGACTGCCCTAATGTCAAGTATGTATTATACAAGTCTAAAATCATATGTAGATAAAATAATCTTTTGGCTTTTGCAATGGTCATTTTTTATAAGACTCATTATCAAAGTCTTGTATCAAACCCTTGTAAAGCTCATTTAGCGAAGTATATGTTGAGTTGGGGGGGAGTGTAGGGCTGAAGGCACTTTATGCAAGACTAACATTACTTCGTTTCACTCTTAAATTTTAAAACAAAACATTTCAAATGACACTGACGTTAGTCAAGGAATGATTGAGTGAATCCATGTTTGACTGAAATGAAGTGGTGTGAATGGGAATGAGTCGGAAAGATCATGTTAAAGTGGCAATGAGTTTTGAATATTAAATTGCGTAAATCAAGTTAATTTCCTCTTGTATCTAGTCTCTAGTTTAGCACCGAAATTGAGATATTTTTGCATATGTTTGGATTATTTCAGATTTGTGAATGAGGAGAAAGTGTTGGAGATAGAGATTGAACCTGGCATGAGAGATGGTCAGGAATATCCATTTGTCTCTGAAGGTGAACCACATATAGATGGCGAACCTGGTGATCTACGATTCCAGATCAAACAGTTACCGTAAGTTTCAATTTTTTTGAAAAGAAATAATAAAAATTCCGTGTTTCAGTTGACATTAAATTATATAGATTATTGTATGTCCGAATGACATTTGTTGGTAAAACATAGTGACTTTATTATTCAGCTGTTTAGTAATTGAATTTATGCGCATACCAGACTAACTTCATTACAAAAGTCATGCATGGTATTAATATAAATGTCAATTAAACATAAACATTTATACATTTAAATGTATTGTAGATATAATAGACATTATTGAAGAACATTTTATTTGATGTGTCCATAAATAATAATTTTAAAGTTGTAAATAAATTAAATGGAAATGGTAATTTATATTTCAGGCATAAAAAGTTTGAAAGAAGAGGCGATGATCTGTACACTAACGTAACAATCAGTTTACAAGATGCTCTCACTGGCTTTGATATGAAAATAAAACATTTAGATGGACATAAAGTGAGTCTTTGTTGTTATGTTATTTCCAAGTTAAACATTCTGTTTCATTGATTTAACTGCACTGTATTAGAGAATAATGGTATGGTACCATTAGACCGTGATTTAAAATATGTTCTCAAATGCATTTTCATAATTAAACTCTCTCTCATGTCTCTTTTATTCTGATATTGTTTTTGTTTCAGGTACACATAGTTAGAGAAAAAATAACTTGGCCTGGTGCCAGAATTCGCAAGAAGTCTGAAGGAATGCCTAATTTTGAAAATAATAATGTAAAAGGCACACTTATAATAACATTTGATATAGACTTTCCTAAAGGAGAACTTAGTGATGAAGATAAAGAAGGTGGGTGTATATTTAATACTACATGTAGTAAATGAAGTGGATATGATTTTTATGTCATTCCCACAAGTGGTGACATTTTTATAGTTTCCAATTTTTGTGGCGGCAGTTGGTGTTTGGCATTCAGTGTCTGTAATAAATGGGAGGTGGTAACATTTTGCATGTTAATGCCTTGTTATCTGTTGCAAACATCTGAATCCTGAAACATGCAATATGTAGATAATGTAATGTCCAATTGTAACCATCTTGAAGAATTGATTTCAATGACAGTTCACATACATAAATCATTTATCCTGCTCTGGTAATTTGAAAATTATCAGTTTAGTTAAAAATTTGAAAAATGGTCAGTTTGGATATTCTAACCACTTTTTGCCCTTTTTTAGTCAGGAAATCCTTCAGGAAATGGTGAATTTTATGTCATTTCTTTAAAGCTGGTTCTTGGCTTTAATTCATGCAACCAATCTATGTAATAATACATTGTAATTAGTTTCAAAGTCAAGTTTGTTTGTTTTTCAGGTTTAAAAAAAATATTGGATCAATCCACGAAAACAACAGTATACAATGGACTGAGAGGCTACTAACACCAGTGAACTTAGGAGAATAAATTATCAACCCTTTTAACAGCTAAATTATGCAATACCACCTCAGCCTTGGACTTGGATTTTATAATTTACTGCAACAGCTGTGACACAAGATTACAACATAGGAGATACTTAAACTGATGAAAAACCCAATGCAGAATTCACAGGTGTATATATCATCAATCACCTCATATCTATGATGTTATAATTAACAATAGATTGCTAGATCAATTGTTTTGTGAGGTTTTAAATGAATTCAAAGGCTGTTATATGCATGGTAGCTGTGTTTGCTCAGGAATTATGGAGTATTATATACATAGTACTTTTTAGTATTTTATGTATTGTACTTCATGTATTGTATGTTTAATACTTTGAGTATTCTATGCATAATATTACCATTTTTCCAAATATTCTATGTTCTAAACTGTAATACATAAAATACTTGATATGTCATTTTATGTACTATCATTGTAATTTTAAAGTATTCTGTACTCAATTTCAAAAAATTATTGTTATTGTTACTAAGAGATCAGCCAAAGAGCATTCAAAATGGACTATAAAAAGTAAGGACACTTTAGAACAGGTATTCAAAAGGTACTAAAAATAAATTGTGTTATCTTTTAACTACATGTATCATGAAACATCCTGGCTAAGTCAAGCTGCAAGTATTCTTAACTAAATTGAATATTCTAGTTTTATTTTAAAATATTGCCTTAGTATTGCGACAAGTCTCCATCTATTTCATCAGTTGTGTGAGAAATATGCAGTGGGAGGAACATTAGAGCTTGATGGAATATGTATATTTTCTGAAACATAGATGTAGATTTTCAGATTTTATGTTGTGATTAACTTTTTGATTCAGTATTTTCCCCTTCACTGCTTCCACACTCAAGGATAACATAACTTTGTTTCTTCATTTATATTGTTGGACATTTAATACTTGCACATAAAAGCTTACATATATAAAGTGGAGATTCACATTGGACCAATGTTACCAATGTTGTACTTTACAATTTGTAATTCTTGGCTCATCTTCTTCATGTCGTGATTGATATCTGAAATTCATGGTTAATCTGAAACATAATACCAAATCCTATGCTAAGGGCTGATGTGCGAGTTACTCCACCTCAGTGAGATTCATAGTATTTATTTTACTTAAAAATACTCATCAAAAATGGCATCTGACAATTGAAGTGCTTTATCCAAGGTTTAATTGAGGTATTATTTTACTATTTCACTTTACGACTCGGAATATACATGCATGACTATCATACATTTAGCTTTAGATTTTGTTACTGTGTACAGGTGTAAATTTGTTAATAAACCCACCAAAGTTATCACTTTGGACACGCAAGATGTTCTGCTCATCATTCAACCTACAGATAGTAGTCACTAGCCAGTGATCTTCCTGGTGTTGACAAATACAGTTTGCTGTACCAATGTTGAAAATTACCTTCCAACCTGTTGGAAATGTGTTTGCGCTCTGACTGGCATAGCCAGGAAAAATAATGAGGCGAAAAATAATTCCAACCTGTTCAAAAAGGGATGAGGCAAGCACCTCCTTGGCTTCACTACATTTCCATTATTTAGATTAAAAAAAATTTGCCAGTATGTAACTCAAGACAGAAATACGAATGTAAATTATGATGGCAATAGAAAAACACGATGATAACCCTTTACATGATGAGATTATGCATAATTGAATTAAAAATTGATGACTTAGGATTAAAAATTGATAAAAATTATACAATTAATATAGAACTCAACATTGATAGAGGGATATTTATCAAAGGACTGTAAAAAGGTCGTCTGCCTTATCCTGGCTACGCTAAAAAATATTGAGCTTTGACAAGAACAGGTAAAATGAGAACCACCTGTTTAGATAAAATAAAATGAGAACCACCTGTTTAGAAAAAACTGGGCACAACACTCGTATTTTAATTCATTCATAATCATTTCAGATAAACTTACTCTTGTTCCATTTTACTAGAATCAACATTCCGTGAAAAATAGATGTTTGTGTTGAATAATATATATATTCACACATTTAGGTCTCAACTCATAAACACACATTTTGAATTCATAAGATTTGTCAATGAATAAGAAATCGATTACCATGAATTGTATATTTATTATCATGTTCATTCACTGAGATTTATTTAACAAATGTAAAGACTTACATTTTGTGGTGTGTACTTTGTGTATAAATGAAATAAAGACTATGGTTTGTATAAAATATTAACATTTATATTTGTGAACTATATAATAATATAATGCACAGAGTAATTTAATGCTTGTATTATGGTTGACTTATTATATAGGGAGGCCATCTTATCTTAAATTATGGTTAGTGAGACTGCTCTTATGATATTGCCATAGTAACATTGTTTATACGTCATAATCGCTGTTCGCGTACAAAACTGGACATTGATATTCTAAAATATTTCCATGGTTGATTTGAAATTTTCTGAACTTTGGACAACTGAACAATGTAAACCAAGTGATCAAGATTGGTATGGGATAAACAGATCATCCTATTGTCGGTTCAGGATATTTGGATTATCCCTTGGCCAATATAACATATCTACCCTCGGGGCTCGGGATATCCCAATATTCTGAACCTCATATAGGATAATCTCTAAGTACTGAAGTAATGCAGGTTAAATAGGAATCATGATCTGAGATACCAGGCCTTGATGAATGTTTATCAAATGAAATAAAACGAGACACTAAACGAAATAAAACTTCCCATTCTTTGAATACATGTACAACCATCCTTACAAATGATTTGTCAAGTATCCTCGCTTCTTAAAGATTTCAAACAAGTGTCACCTTTTCCACAAATGTCATTACAAGTGTCTTCACTACAAGTTACAATCTTGCATCCAGTGTCAATTTTATTGCAGTCCCCGGGACTACAACTGCCATCTTTACTGGTATCCGATTCACTGACTTTCTCCTTACTATATGCTTTATTTTGAATCCTAGACACCATCCTCCTTGCGTAAAAGTCTCGATAATCATCGGGAAGATCTTTCAAAAGTTTCAACGCATTGTCAAGTTTCTGAATTGCACGGGTGGCAACCACTGGATCCTTGTTGCCATATGTATCTTTGCTGTCGTAGCAACTATTGTCAAGGTGTTTCCAAAATACATTGACTGCTATACCATAGTCCAGGGATATCACATTGTGGAACCAAAGGGCTGTAAATGAGAAGATTCCAAAAAATTAATCATGCAACAAATGAATTAAAATAAAAAAATAAAAACTCTGAAGGTAGGCAGGATAGAATTGGGCTGGTGAAGTCATAACATCAGGCTTCAGGGAGCATATCAAGCCAAAAAGCATGTGTATAAAGATTATCCTATATGAAGTTAAGGATACTAGGATTATCCCGAGGCCAATATAATATATGCTGGAGGTTCCTATTACACTGCATAATAATATATATGTCTGCTAAGCCAGAATGTGAAGGGATATCTTGCCTGCTGGTGAAATTATGGAAAGAAAGTTATTCCACTTTGCTTGCCTTTCAATAAAACCCAATGTTTTTGCAATATTATATTTCAGATCTTTATTGACAACATGTTCTCACCTGGAATGAAGAGTATATCTCCAGGTTCCAGCACACACTCATAGCGTGTGGCCTTGCAGAACTCAGGATACTTTTCTAGATCTGGTTTGTCAATATCAAGGACCTCTGATTTGTCACCATTTAGATAAAGATAGGTGGCGTCCCTGGGACTGAAGAGAACTACACGCTTGCGTCCTTTAATCTGAATCAGCATGTTATCCATCACCTGAAGGAAAAGTTATAGCAAGAATTGGAAGATATGAATTTAAAATTCATTTTCAATACAAAATATCATACTTTCCTCACTCAACTTAAAGTGTATGAGAAAAATAGCAATGTTGACCATTGTTAACTTCAGACAATCTTTTAGCCATTAGATTACATAGAAATCAAGAAACTAGTGCTTCCAAAATATTCAGTTAAGATTTGTATTGTGCAAATACTTTGAAAATCGTTTTATTAATATTTTAATTACTAGTCTATAGGAACAAAAGTAAAACAATTTATGAAGGGATATAGCATACTTTAGATGTTGTATTACAAAATGTAAAGGCCTTATGCTAAGTTTGAGAATATGTTTTTATTATTCATTTACTATTTTGGATGAATGCTATGCATTGGTTTGAATTATCACTTAGTTAAAGATATATGTGACCTCTAAAATTTAGTTTTAAGTAAAGTCATGATTTTTCGAACAAAAATACCTTCAAAAATCACTTTTTGAAATTAAACAAGTTTCACATATTTTGATAACATTGGGTTATATAATAGTTAATAAGCCAAATTAAGTGGTTTAAACTTTACACAGGGCCTATACACTAGTGATCCACTCGATTACGCTGGTTACCAAAACGATTTGTTTTGGTAACAAAATGTCGGAACATCGAAGGTACGAGTTTTCTTTTTTTCTTATTTCACACGTTGTAGGCAGAATTCCCAATAGTACACGGAATTCATGTTTCTTATAATTTTTGATGGAACAAATCATGAAACTTTGTGGGGTGGTTCTGTATGGTATTTCAAGCAATTTTAGTTGCCTGTACGAAGATGTACAAGCCTCATTTTGGAAAAATGTCATGTTATACCCCTCAGCCATTTTAGGGGAGGGGGTCAAAAATGAAAAAAATCATAGCTATCCAAATTTTTAGATATTAGGCCATTTTATAATAAATTTGATGATTACAAAGAATACGTCACATTCAAAAAAATTATTTGAGCTGAATTTAACTTAAAAGTCTCTTTTTAACCCTTTGACAACCAATATTTTGAAATGTCTAATAGACAAACGCTTTCTAAAAGGATCAACATTTTTTTAATTCCTTGATATTTTTTACTGTAAAAAATCACAGATGATTTGGAGGCTATTCCTAATACCCATGCAAAATCATGATAAAAAAATATTAAGTATGAATAGAATAAAAAATTCTTTAGCACACTGGTGCTTCTTCCAGGATTGAAAGGGGTACCATTGAAAATTGATAAAATCTAGCAAGTCATATATCTAAGCATATCACCAATATTCAAATTGACTTAAGATCCATTTAGGGTACCTCAAGACATGCAAAATTTGATTGTTGATATTTTATGAATCACTTTCAAAAGTGCTGATTCGGCACATTTTAACATTTCTGAGTCTGAGTTTGACATTATGTTGAGAACTGTCCAATGGTTCACTTGACAAAAGAGCAATAGTTTTAGCTTATACATCATATGACATTAGAAGAATTATTGACTAAATACTAAAGTTTCACTAAAATATTGTCATCCATATAAAAGAATATGCAATTGCATAGATGAATTAGAAAAACACACAGAAAGTATCACAACAGGCTTCAGACATTCACAAGTTGGATTTGGGCTATTTCTGAGGTTTTAAACAGGAGCATATGTTAGACCAATGCATTAACTCCAGGATAAGCACTCATAGAGATGATAAAAAGATTTGAACTTGAGACAGGGAAGGTGCAAACATCCCACCAACATGTTTTTTCAATGTTTGATGTATCATTTTACAGGTTGTCCCAAAAGTCCCCCCCCCCCCTAGGCAGACATATACCAGTGTCATCATAGTATGTCATATATCATTTTAAAGCTCATCCAAAGTTACATTGAATTGCCAAGAATTATGATTCAACTCTCAAATGGGAAAAAGTGACAGTCATTTTAAAATTTAGTGTTTGGCCAAAATAAAGTTCAATTTCACACCCCATTACAAGTCAATGAGTCCTCCCTTGGTCATGTTATCAGCAGCAATTCATTTCAGATAGGACCATAAAAGCTCTACAGGGTGTGGAATTTTGCAATCCTCTTAAAATCTTTTAAGGCACTTTTGAAGAGTTTCCTTGGAGTATCAACCCTCACCGTCTCTTTTTCCAACTCAATATCCATCCAACCCGAAAAGAATTGCTGCTGTTAAGATGGCCCTGGAGGACACATTGACTAGTGATTTGGTGTTAAATTGAATTTAATTTTGGCCAAACACTAAAATTTTTTTCACATTTGAGAGTTGAACCATGATACTTGCCGAATCAATGTAACTTTGGATAAATGATATGATACATACTATGAAGACAATGGAATATGTCTGCCTAGGGGGGATACTTTCGGGACACCCTGTATGTTATGTTTTGAGACAGAGTTAACTCTTTAAAGGAAAAATGCATTCCTTTGGGATAAAGTGGAAAACAATATTTCCCATGGTATTTTCCCATATCCCATAGGGAAAACTCATGCAATCCATTGTTGTCAGCTTAATTTTGGTCACCCACAATTGACATCTTTAAAACCCCTGATAGAATGCATTTTTTCTTTTAAGAGGATAACTGAGTCCCAAAACGCAACATATTGATGAAACAAACATTAAAAAACAGGTGCGGAAAGGACTGAAAAGCAGACAAATCTCAGGCGAAATATGTTGATGGTGTGTTTGCAACTTTCCTGTCTCAAACTCCACTCTTGGTTTTGAGGGATAAGTATAAAAGCATTGGATATAGCTTGTTGGGGGGGGGATGGCCTGACTTTTTTCTGATAATGGTGCTTAGATCTAAGTTGTGTCCTGATTTTTGATTGCTAAATAGGACTACTTCAAATGACCAAATGGTATGAATGTGGGGTGTGTCACCCATGAAAATCTTCACAGAACCAATTAATTTTTGATCCTCTATTAATAGAAGCTATTGATTTGATGTTTACCTTGTATAATCATACTGGGATTCATTGAAATTATGATTTACATTTTGTTTTGTTTATTCAGGCAATGGGATTACATACTAGAATAATCTAAAGTGATAATAACACACCTTGGATGCAATTATGCTGGCCTTTCTCTCCTGTTACTATGTGCTGTGTCACCTGTGAATATCTTCACATCACTAGTCAAAAGTCTCCAAATATTTGTTAAACGAGCAGTCACACCTTTGAATGATAATTTTATGAATGATAATTTTACGACTGTTATTGAGGTCATTTTTTGGTCTCATATTTCTTATCAAGTTCTCCATTCTGTATAACCCTATAAAGTGTCAAAGAGAAAGGACCAATTGTTCCAGAACCCAGCAGAAAAAAGAAGAAATTTAAGTATAGACCAGTCATAAGGAAAACAAACCCCAACTATCCAATACCATAATCCAACGTGAATGGGAAACAATGTCTAATGCCCCTCATCCCTACCATAAAAATTTTACAGTTCAGGCTATTTAAAAGAGCATATTCTTTTTCACTGCCTATTATCACTGACTCTTTTTGAAGCACTTAGTATTCTTTTGGCAGGAATTCCATCTCAATCAGCTTTAACACCTATTGTTATTGTTACTGTTATGATTTTTGATTTCAAATGTTCAAGGATAAGCAGCAAGATTGTTTAAATATCAGCAGAAGATGTTATTTGCTCATCTGAACCCCATCACCTTTACTTATCTCATATAGAGCAAGTTAAACCTTAATTTGTCTTTTTTATACCCTCTCAAGGTTTTTGGGGTATTTCGCAATAACTTTGCAACCAGAGGAGCTTTTTTCATTCTGACTTCAGTTCTACATAGTTTAATCAATTACCTTTTAGAATATGTATGCATTATTTATCATGAATGCAAGAAAATATGTGAAAACCTTATCATAAGGGTACAGGTGTTTTAGCATTTTGTATCATTTCGTAGCATTTAGTATATAACCCTGTATGAATTTAATATCTTTTGGTGATAGTGATGTTCTGTGGTCTCAGGTAGCACAAAAGTCATCATGCGATTTACATTTGGTTTGTTTTATCTGAAAGAAATTGGATTAATTGAGGATAAGATGGAATTTCCTGTTGATAGAATGATTATTTCTGATATAATTATTAATTATTGCAAAGAATGAACTATGGGGACCTCAAAAACCATTTAAGGGTTAATAGTGTGTAATAATAAAATCTACATATTATAATACCATGTGTAGTTTATAGGTGCTCTTCAAACAATTAACTATATTGCCATGTAAAATGTCACTACCACTTGTGATGACATATTGTTAAAATCTTTAATATTTTTGTGGGTGGTGTTCAGTGGTTGGTGTTTGGCAGTTGTTAATCTGGGGTCCCAGTAGGGCTCTAATCAATTATTGAAAAAAACTTCACAAAGTTTGTTTAGAATTATATCTAATACTTTCAATGTCACAAAGTGTTTATAGATGTGCTTTGTTATCAAATGTGCTTAATGGATATACATTACTTGTTTGTAAACACCACAATAAGTATAAATTATTACTGGGCCTCTAGGAAGACCAGTTTTGTACAGATAGAGCTACTCAGAATAAATATAGTTTTCAAATCAAATCAAATAAGATAAGCATTTTAATAAAAGCAATGAAGCAAAATGTGAACCTTTTCTACCAATTGCATTTTCTTGTATATGGATAAAGATATTTCATTGTAAGTTAAAGATCTGTTACATCTTTTTCCAGCAACATAAAATGTAAAAATCAAAATATTTGCTCAATCTACAATTGTGCTATTGAATAGTTTCTAACAAGATTTCGAACTTTGACACTGATATTGTAATGATATCCAGTTTCTGGTATCATCTTGCTAACTGCCTTTGAGGTATTATGTTACTTGTACATGTGTGGGATTACAAATATACAACTTGGTCTTCTAAAGCTAGAACATGTACTGTCCAGATCATTACATGGTACTGCGTGGTGAAATATTTAATAATACAATACAAAAAATGGATTATTAGCATAGAAAGGCCT